TAGTTACAGTCTTGATAGGGGATGAGCTGGCCCAGCCAGAGCATATAGGTGAGAAGAAGGACTTGTAGGGGATTCAGACTTTAATTAAGCAGTAGAGACGAAATGGTTCTGAGAAGAAATAGGGAGGTGGTTAGACACATATTCAGGAAAAACTTTCAGGAGAGAGTGGTTAACAGTTTGCAAGGGGAAGAGATGCCAATTAAGGTAGAGAATGGTCTTTAAAAATGTAAGAAGTTGTGATTTCCTGTTTCAGAATTACAAGCTACCTCAAGTCTTTCTCAAAGCAGACCTGTGTGACCGAATGACCTCTGGAACTTGACATATATGTAAACTATCGTGTAAAGCGTGTGTGTTGCCACACTTAGTCGCCCAGTCGTGTCTGACTCTTTGCAACCCTGTGGATGGTAGCCCACCAGGCTTCTCTGTACATGGAGATTTTCCACGCAAGAATACTGGAGTGAGTTGCCACGGCCTCCTCCAGGGGATCTTCCCAACCCAGGGATCGAACCCAGGTCTCCTGCATTGCAGGTGGATTCTTTACCATCTGAGTCACCAGTGAGGCCCTCATAGTGTAAAGATTTTATAGCTAATTTAGGTTCAGGGCTCATGAAAGACAAGGCTCCCCAGCCCTCCTCAGTGAGAGACAAGGTCACCCCTGAACAATGTGGCCACTTACCATCTTCATCACTAAGAGCAGGTGACGGGACCACAGGGGGCCCTGGGATAGAAAACGAAACCTGGCCAGAAGGCTCAAGGGAGAGAGGGTTTAACTTCTGCCTTCTGTATGGTTCTAGGAAAGGATTCGCAAGGATGCAGAAGTGGATTGCATGTGCACTAAGAGACAGGTCAGAGCAGCTTAGCTAAGTACTGCTAGTGACAGAGAGACTGAAACAACCTCAGTGCCCGTCAACTTGAGAGTGGGTAAATATACTGTTCTGTAGTCATCCAATAGAATTCTATTTGGCAGACTCAATGAATAAACTAGATCTGTGTGTATCAACTCATGTAAAAACTGTTGAATGAAAACAAAGCATGTTCAGCATTAGTTATGTAAATTTAAAAACCACACAAAGCAATACTATTTTTTTTTTTTAGTGTAAATATGATTTGGTTGCACAAACATGGATGGAGAGGGTACTTCCCAAATTCATGGTAATGTTGATCTCTGGGGAGGGAGAGGATGGGACTTGGAAGGATGGAAAAGGAGTTTTCAACGGTATCTGTATTCTATTTCTCTTGCCAAGAAGTGTTTGAAGCATATGAAAAGGTGGTCAATTTACTTACTTACTAGGGAAATATGAATTAAAGTCACAGGAAGAAGAAAAAAGAACCCACAGTAAGATACTAGTACACAGTTACCTCTATGGCTAAAATGAACAAGTATCATGTATTGACCCAAATATGGAACAACTGGAATTCTCCTACATTGCTGATAGTTCATTCAACTACTTCAGAAAACTCTTTGGCAGTATCTTCAAGAGCGAAACATCCACCTATCATGTGATTCTGAAGTTCCCTCCTAGGTATCAACCCAAGAGAATTGAGTATTTATGGGCAGAAAAGAAATGTACAAGCTCTACATAACAGCTTATTTATACTAGCCAGTGATAGAGATCCGCAAGCCATTTTGGTTATTCCATTTCCAGATATATATTCTATAGACAATGATTTTGTATACCAGTAGACAGGTGCAAGAATACTTGTTGCTACATTACATGACAGTAGCAGCAACAACAAAAACATAACAACTCACATCTCCACCAACAGGAGGATGGGTTCATACTGCAACAACATGGATGCATCTCAAGGTCATACTGTTACACAAAAGAAGTCAGATATAAAATAATACATACAGTATGATTACAGTTGGCAAAAGTCATTCCTGGTGGCAGAATTCAGAAGAGGAGTTACTGCTCTGAATAGGAGTTACTTTTGAGGTGTTATTTACTGGAAAATGACATAGAGACCCTTCTGGGATGATGACAAACTACTGTATCTTGATCTGGATAGTAATTACACAGGTGTATATATAGGTTCCCTGGTGGCTCAGATGGTAAAGAATCTGCCTGCAATGCAGGAGACCTAGGTTCGATCCCTGAGGTGGGAAGATCATCTGGAGAAGGGAAAGGCTACCCACTCCCGTATTCTTGGGCTTGCCAGGTGGCGCTAGTGGTAAAGAATCCACCTGCCAATGTAGGAGATGCAGGAGACACAGGTTTGATCCCTGGATCGGGAAGATCCCCTAGAGAAGGAAATGGCAACCCACTCCAGTATTCATGCCTGGAAAATCCCATGGACAGAGGAGCCTGGTGGGCTACAGTCCATGGGGTCACAAAGAGTCGGACACGACTGAGGAACCAAGCACAGACTAAGCACATATATAGACTGGAATTCACCAAACTGTGCACTCAAGATTTGCATACTTTATTGTATATAAGTTATGCCTCAAAAAATCTGAAGCAAAAACGACAGGATGTTAACATGTGTTCGTTTTCGGCGGTGGGTACACAGAGTGCTATTATATTTATAATTAGGAAAGAGAGGGAGTAGTCCTCCAGAATGGAAGTGACCGCATCCTAGAGGAGGTGACACTTTGAGTTGAGACCCCTGCTGATCCATCTCCTCAGTGCTTGGGCAAGGGAGTTCCCTTACAGTGGGGTGCAGAGACAGCAACAAACCAACCAACTTCTCCTGGGAGAGGTAAGGTGATCCTCATTGTCACTCTCTTAGTAAATTGGCATAGCCACTAAAAAGTGTTCTGTAGGCTCTTGGACTGCAAGGAAATCAAACCAGTCAATCCTAAAGGAAATCAACCCTTAATCTTGATTGGAAGGACTGATGCTGAAGTTCCAGTACTTGGGCCACCTGATGTGAAAAGCCGACTCATTTGAAAAGACCCTGATGCTGGGAAAGATTGAGGGCAGGAGGAGAAGGGGACGGCAGAGGATGAGACGGTGGGATGGCGTCACCGACTCAAGGGACATGAGTTTGAGCAAGCTCCGGGAGATAGAGAAGGACAGGAAAGCCTGGTGCGCTGCAGTCCATGGGGTCTCAAAGAGTGGACACGACCGAGTGACTGAACAACAACAAGGTTCTTTGAAGATTAGCTTAACTTTCTACAGCTGAGAGGGCCTGACCTCTGAGCCGTCGTGCAAGAGATGGGCTGGGATGTCCTCTGCCCTGCCTCCCAGCCTGGCCAAAGACAGCGTGAGCCGCTGCATTTGTGAGGCAGCCCCCTTTGCCTCAGCTCCTAGGTGGGCGACTGCTCCTTCCTCCCAGAGTATGAGAGAGGGAAAGAGACTTAAAAAAAGTAATGAAAGTGGCGAAAGGAAGAAAAAAGATGTGAACCCTTTGCCATGTTACATCAAAAACCTGAGATAATTGCACTCTTAACTGGAGCCTCTCCCTCCTGTCTGCTCCGCTCTCTACTGGAAGCCCCGACGAGCTCTGAAACCAGACAGACCTGCCTTTCCATCACTAGGTGACTAGCATGCTACTTAAGCGCTCTGTGCCTCAGTTTCCTTTTGTGTAAAACAGAAGCAGTAATTCTACCTCTCAGGGCTGCTGTGGGCCTGAAAAGGGTGCATGCCAAGACCTGCCCAAGGAGGCCTTTGACAACTGGAGTGACACCTCCCTTCCCTCTGAGGCTGGTCTGTGGGCAGACACCCTGGCAGCACCGTCCAATAGGACTCTGAGTGAGGATCGCTTTTAATCACCTGATAGGTGTCCTGAGCAACTAGGCTACTGAATTGTTCATTTTATTCTCTTCTATTTTAGTTACCTGTGGGCTCTCCTGGTGGCTAAGCAATAAAGAATCTACCTGCAATGCAAAACACAGGGCAGGAGCCCTGGGATTACATCCCTGAATGCGGAAGATCCCGGGAAGAGGACACAGCCACCCACTCTTGCCTGGAGAGTCCCATGGACAGAGGAGCCTGGTCGGGCCACAGTCCACGGGGTTGCAAAGAGTCAGACACAGCGGAGCAACTAACACACTCAGTTGCTTTACATTTAAGAAGCCACCTGTGCCAAGTGGCTACCGCCTCGGGGCAGGGCAGTGTAGGGCTTTTAGGGTCAGGACTGGTCCCCTGCCAGGCGGCTGGGCGGGGTGGCTCAGTGTGGGCGCTGAGAGGCGCCGGCTTTGCGCTGCATCCACGTAGTAATCTCTTCCCTCGACAAACTCCTACCACGAACACCCAGGACTGCAGTCAGGCCCCGGGCGCCGGGATGGGAACAACTGCAAAACCGTGGGCCCTACCGACTTCTGTCCCCCTGTCCCCCTTGCCCTCGGCACTCCGTGCACCCGAAGTCCTCACGGGCCTTGGGAGCAATGGGGAGGGGACGCGCGGGAGGGACCCCTGTGGCTCTCACCTGGGTCAGGGTCTTCCACGGCTCCTGGCTGCTCTATTCTTCGCAACAAGGCCGGCGGGCTAGGCATTTCCCTTTCACAGACGAGGAAACTGAGGCTGGAGGAGCTTAAGGGCACCGGCAGGAAAGCACAGCCGCAAACTCTGTGCTTGGGATTCTGGGGGTGTAGCCAAAGCCACGTCCGTGGGGGCCCGTCGTCAGGGCGCGCGGGGGAAGCGGCGGGTAAATATTTGGGGCTGTAACCCGGGCTCGGGCGACTGGGCGTCACCGCGGTTGCCCGGCGCGCGCGTGGCGAGGGCGGTGCCCGGTGCCCGGGGAGGGGAGACGGGGGCGTCGAGGCGCGGCGGCGGGGACAGACCCGGCAGCCCGGCTCCCGCGGCCCCGCCCCGGCCCGCCCCCGCCCGCGGCTATAAGACCTCGCGGCGGGCGGGCGGCGGCGACCCGGGGAAAGGGAGGGCGAGCGCGCGGTGCCGGCAGCGGCGTGGCTGGAGCGCGGCCGGGCGAGGGGGCGGACTGAGCCGGACGCTGCCCGGAGAGGGGACGGCCAGAGCGGGACGCACGTCTGCACGACCCCCGTGCCCAGACCTCGCAGGATCCCGGGCCCCCAGCGACGCGCGCCGGCGGAGCCCTCCATGAAGCCGCCCGTCGCGCAGGGCAGCCCCGCGGCCGCCGCGGCCGCAGGTGAGTGGCGAGGCGGGGTGGGTCTCCTTAAACCCGGACCTTGCAGGGGGCTGGGGGCGAAAGAAGCAGGGTCCCGCGTAATCTTTCTCTATTCCTCCCCCTGCCTCCGCTCTGCCCCCGCCGGGCTGGGGAACAAGTCACGGGCACATCCTGACTCAGTCCTCCGGCCGACCCCGGGGCCGCGAGCGCGGGGACCGGTCCACCGCCAGCCCGCGGGTGGGAAAGAACTCGGCCTCGCGGCTTAGCAGCGTGACCTTTGATTTACCACTCCCGGGGGCGGAGACTCAGTTTCTTTATCTCTAAAATGGGCGCGATGCTAGCGCGCACTTCAGGGGCGGTGGAGTCTTGAAAGATAACAGCCAGCGGCCGGCGGCGGCCTCCGGCTGCCCCCCCCCCCCCATCCCGACCCTGGCCGGAGCGCAGTCCACGTGTGCCGGCGACCCCGGGGGCCCCGGCCCGACGCGGGACGGGACGGTGGCCCGGCGCCCGCCCCCGCCCTCACCGGCGCCCTTCGCCCCTGCGCAGCCCCGGCCTTGGACTCTGCGGACGCGGGGGACCTGACGGACGCGCTATGCGAGTTCGATGCGGTGCTGGCCGACTTCGCGTCGCCCTTCCACGAGCGCCACTTCCACTACGAGGAGCACCTGGAGCGCATGAAGCGGCGCAGCAGCGCCAGCGTCAGCGACAGCAGCGGCTTCAGCGACTCCGAGAGTGAGTGTGGCGCTGCCGCGGAAGCTGTCGCGCCCCGGGCAGTCCGGGCACCCCACCCGGCCCTCGGGGGAGCGCCCTGGGCTCGCGGCTCCGCGTGCTCATCCGGAAAACCGCGGGCGGGGGGTCCGGCCGAGCGAGCCCCGAAGCCCAGAGCCGTCTCTAGGACTCTGGGAGTCTCCGGGGCCGCAAGGCCGGCAGGGAGCAGACCCCATAGGGCGGTCTAAGGAAGGCAGGCTGGGCTCCACGCCGCCCGCCGGCAGGTGTCAGGACCCAGGAGGGCCTCCCCGTTGCCCTCTCCCCCCTCCTTGCCGCTTTCAGCAGCATCTTCAGAGGATGTGGAGAAAGCGCCACAGGCGTGGGGTCCAGGGCCCCCGGAAGGGCGCAGGATGGACGTATTCGTGAAACCAGGAAAGGTTTCTTAAGCTCCCGTTCTTGGGGTGTTTGAAACGCTTTTTGCACTTTCTCCTGGCCCTGAGCTCCCCTCCCCGCCCCCCCCCCCCGGAGTTGCTGTTACACTGTCCGCAGTTTTGAAAGAATCCTAGCGCTGCTAAGTCCAAGTATTTAGAGAGTGTCCCTCATCTTTCAGGCAGGTCCATGACGCGAACTGCTGGCTCAGACTCCCGGCCCCACCCTGGTACCCAGTCTGGGGCTGGGGGTGGGGGTGGGGAGGAAGAGGGGAGGGGGTGGGAGAGGGGAGGGGGGTTGGGCGGTAGGGAGCAGATGGAGGCAGAGCTGCTTTCTGCTGACTTGTGGAGACCACCCCCAGGGTCTGGCTGCCCTAAATCACCTTGTTAAAAAGAGAGGCCACTTTTTCCAGGACCTCAAACGTCCTGTAAGGATTATGGATACTTGTTTAGGTGTCAAAGAGCAAATTGGGTGACTTTTCAATCTTATGTGACTGTCGTTTTTCCCAACCCGGATGACTTACTGTTTTTCAAAGGGCATCTTGAACACTTCTGGATAATTCTTGAGGCTTCATTCCCTAGATGGGTTACCAGCCTGAATGTCATTCCCTTTGCTGCCCTTGACTCTGGAAGTAAAAACAGTGAGCTTTCCTTGTGATTCCCTTTTGCGATCTGAAGCTTCTCCTTGTTACAGGGCCAAGATAACAGTCTTGGACTTACACATAAGCTGTCCTCCTGAAAAGGAATAAAGGGCACTGGCCATCCAGTTCAGGCTTGGAGTCAGAAACTTAAGAGTTCTATCTTGACTTGCCTTGGCAGCCCTGACGAAGGGTTAGATCTAATTGCAGCTTTTGAGGTGAAAGGGAATGGAATCATCTGCTGTTAATTTTCGGTTCTGTATGTTTGGACTTTGTTGCTAATGACCTGACCACTTATTTTCAATTTCAAAGGGAAGTTGAAAAAATTTTGAAATTTGTCTCAATGTATGTAGCCAAACTTAAATGTGTCTCCTTCTACTGGGGCATATTCATCAAGTACAAATTCTCTCCCCCGTGGGAAAGAAAGCTGGCACAGTGTGTTCAGGGCTGCTCTGTTGCAAAGAACAGCTCCATTCTAAACCACAGCTGCACTTGGCTAGAATAGGGCCTGAGCTCACTCATTCATGGGTGATTGCAACTCCCTCTGGGTAGGATTTCAGATCTGGGATCCGTTTTCTGGGGGCCTCAAAGAAAAGGCACTTGAAACACATTCTTAACAGCTTCGGGGGAGATGTTTGGAATGGTCTATAGTTTTTCTTAGGGTGTGTTGACTTTGTTTTCTGCCTTTGTTGCTAACTGTTAAATTGACCCTTGGTTTGGTGGTTAGAGAAGTAAGCGGAGGGTATGCAGAAGGCTTGGATGACATTAGTCTTTCCTATAAATGTGTAGTTTGGCCCTCACGAGGCTGGTTAGAAATAGTCTTGGCAGAAGCGGTGTGTATCTAAATAGTCATTTCTTAAGGATGCATAATACGTGTCTTAATTGCCGCCCAGAATGGATCACAGACATTTGTTATACTCATTTAGCTGTTCAGTGCTTTTCTGTGGAAGAGAGTATTTGAGAGAGGTGGATCCTACTGAAATGTAGGGTCTCCCCAGCAAAGAGGAGACACCCTAGGATGATGAAAATAAGAGCAGCTCTCTTTTGCCAAGCCTTTTCTGTGATTACTATTATTATCTATTAGTTCTTACCATTAGCAAGCTCTTTGCTGTGCCTTAAATGTGCTATCTCCTATGTTCCCTTCCACAGTCCAACAATGCAGGCACTCTTGTCTCCTTTTTTTTTCTGATTAAATAGTAGAACCACTTGGACTGTCTCTAATGTTTTGTTCTGTCACCGTGGATGGAGGACTGGTGTGGAAACCAGGTCCTCCTGGATAGACTTGGACAGGGATCACGTGCCTGTTTGTCAATCATGGTCATGTTTGAAGGTGTCTCTTTAAGGCCGCGGTCCCCCCATTGGGTCCATGGAGCCCAGGCTGAGCTCTGTTGGGGCCCTGCGTGAGGAGTGGGCCTCGGTTTCTCTAGCTGTGAAATGGAAAGTATTCTATTTAATGATGCTATTAGGTACCCACTCCAGTATTCTTGGGCTTCCCTTGTGGCTCAGCTGGTAAAGAATCCGCCTGTAATGTGGGAGACCTGGGTTCGATCCCTGGGTTGGGAAGATCCCCTGGAGAAGGGAAAGGCTGCCCACTCCAGTATTCTGGCCTGGAGAGTTCCATAGACCATATAGTCCATGGGTTCGCAAAGAGTTGACATGACTGAGCGACTTTCACTCCCTAGAAACATCCATAAGCTCAGGATCAGAAAGAAAATATTTGCCCTGTTTGATGTTTTAAGAGAACAATAAAATGCACATGCCATGATGTGTCACATAGGCTGGATACATTTGGGCCAATGTCTTGCATGAACATGTTATGTATGAAGCTCCCATGAAGCTCTGAACCTTTGGGACTTTGGTTTTTCGCCCTGCGTTTTACAACTCCATCACTCTGAAGATGTACCCACAGCATTCCTGCTTTTTTGAAGAACCTTTTTTTTTCTCTTAAAAAAATTTAGAGGGAAAGACAAATGTTATATGATATCACTTATATGTGGGATCTAAAAATATAGTACCAATGAACTTATTTACAAAACAGAAACAGACTCTTATGGACATAGGAAACAAACTTAGGGTTACTGTGGGCGTGGGAAGCAGGGAGAAGGATAAATTATGAGTATGGGATTAACAGATACATACTACCGTATGTGAAATGGAGAAACAGCAGGATTTATTGTGTAGCACAAGGAACTATATTCCATATCTTGTAATGACCTATAATGGAAAAAAATTTAAAAAGAATATATATCTGGATCGTTTTGCTGTACACTTGAAACTAATACAATATTGTAAATCAACTATACTTCAATTAAAAAAAAAATAGGTTTCTTGCATCCAAAGGAGAAAAGCTAGACATTCCTTCTTTTAACCAGAGAAGCAAGTTACTTCCATTGGAGAGAAGAGCGGATGTTTAATAAGGAAATATGTCTTCCTGTTTCTACTTGCAGGGAATCCTCCTAAGACTTGAAGAGGATCAACACAAGAGTGGCAAGACAACTTCACGTTAGGGGTGGTATTCAAATGGGGGTTGATGAGAATTGTTCTTTTCTTCTAGATTTCGGTTCCGACAGGCACTTTCGTGAGAGCAGTTTCAGCTTTAGCAGTGGAAGGCAGCTCGGTTAGGAGCCGGGGCAGTGAGGTTCAAGCCTGATCCTCAGAGATGCTGCAGGCATGATGACCATCTTTGGTTTGAACTTAGCTTGAAAACCCTGTTGTTCTTTCAGTACTTTCAGCACTGTACATGCACATCATGACTTCTCAAATGTGTTCAATAACATTTTAACTCATCATATGCTAAATTTTAACCAAGGTGTTAATTTATGATTCCACGGATTGATTTTACAGGAAGTTTCTAATATTAACTGGCACTTTAAAAGGTGATGTAAACTCACATCTTTGATGGATTGGAGGTTCGTTTTTCCTTTTGGCGGGGGGGCGGGGAGTATTTTGCCTCTTAACAGAAAAGGTTCACAGTCTACTCTGTATACTGGGGCTTTTATGATTCTGTTGGGCCATTGGAGGGAATGAGGAATTGGCTTCTTTAGCTTGTGCAAAACCTACATTGTCTGTATTTCTTTTCCTTGACTGTTCTAGCTTGGCTCTGGGAGAGAGGACCTGGGGGGCACGTGTGACAGGTAGCCTGTTAGCTGATCTGATGTAAGAGCCACTGAGGTCAAAACTTGACCTTGCTCAAGCCGACAGGGAATGAGGGGTTAGGGGCCCTCGGGGTGTCCTGGTGTGTGCTAGGAATTCCAGGCAGGTAACAAGTGTCACTGGTGGACATGTATGCATGTGTATGCTTAGTCGCTTCAGTCATGTCTGACTCTGTGACCTTATGGACTGTGGCTTGCCAGGCTCCTCTGTCTGTAGGATTCTCCAGGCAAGAATACTGGAGTGAGTTGCCGTGCCCTCCTCCAGGGGATCTTCCCGACCCAGGGATTGAACCTGGGTCTCCTGTGGCTCCTGCATTGCAAGCACAGTCTTTATCGCTGAGCCACCTGGGAACCCCATCACTGGTGGGCACCTGGAGGCATATGGAGGGACCGAGCAGTCCCAGAAGAGAAGCTGGAACACTAGTGGTGAAATTGAGAAACGATTTCTTATTCTATTGGTGCAGCTGTTGGAATTTAGATTTTGAGTGGGAGAGTTGACCCCCCTGCCCCACCCCGCACATACCATTCCCTGTGGCGAAAGGGAAACAGGTCCAAGGCTTTCTTTTTCTCAGTTAATTACTATGGTTTGCTTGCCTGAAACATGTGGGATTGTTCTATATTTACAGGAGCTCCAGGCCACGGTTACTGTCTGTGGTTTTCCTTCCCTCTGGAGTAACACACGCTGGTACCAACCCCCAAATTACCTTTCTCCCCGCCCCCAAATGGAAAAAAAAACACGTCTACCTTTTAAACAAGTCTTTGTTTTTGTAGCCAAGTTTTCCAAGCTTTGTGGGCGTTCCTATGGTTAAGATGTTAGAATATTTAATATGCTCACCTTTCTTTTGATGATGTCTTAGCAAACTTGCTCCCTGAATTTGAGGTTCCTGGCCTCAGCGTGCCAAGTTGACTTGCCAAGGACATTTCTGATGGGACTGCAGAGCTGATGGCGGTAGATGTTGTAAGGCCCCGCAATATCTAGTCTTGCCACCTGCTAGGTCCCCAGATCATCACTGCTGTGTGTCCTTATTAATGGCAGCGACTGATGCCGGGTAGGGCAATAATACATCACTATGCTATCAGCCAGCAACACATTGCTGTCCCTTGTCAGACTAACTGGCTGTTATTTTGCAAGAAATTGAGTTCTAGGGGGGTGAAAAGAACAGGAAGGCAGGCTTTGCTTCCCTTTTAATTTACACCTAGCGTGCAGTCTTATTCACTGTGGAATGAAATTTTATTGGATAAAGGGTTAAGAGAGGTTGGATTACTTCTGTGTTGGTGGGTTTGTTCTTGGGAGGTTTATTCTAGGGCGCCTCTGAAGATAAACTTTTTTTCTTAAGAATTTTGCGACTCTCTAAAGAAGAGGAAGAAGCTTGGCCCCAGAATCTGGAGTCTTATTATTCCCTATGGTGACCTTTCTTCTGAGCATGCCTTCCTCCAGTTTGTTGAAAAAAATAAAGCCTGAAAACCGTGGGCAGCACACGGAACTTGTGGGTTTCTTATCCGCCTTTCTTAAGAGAAGAAACTGCCCCTCCGAGATGAAGTGACTCGCACAGGGTCACACGGCCTTGGTCCCACACAGCTCTCGGGGGACAGCTTTTGCTGGACCCCAGGAGTCTGGGGGCTCTTAAGATTGTTGTGGTTCTTATTTTCATGAATCGTGTGTAGGGAGTGTGACCACAGAGTGGAACTGAACCATGGAGAAGTTTGCCTCAAGGATGCTGGCACTGTTTCCTCTTAATGGTTGAACATCTTGGAGCCTGGAGTCAGGGCTGGCCTGAATTATGCACTGAGCGTCCAGGTGCATCCGCGAGCTGGTGTGTGAGAACGTGTGTGAGAGTGTGTGTGGGTGTTTGAGTCTGGGGGTGTGAGAGGCGAGCAGAAGTGGACACATGCTGTGTTGGCCAGCCTCCCTGTGTGTGTCTATATCTATAGATACTGTAAATAAATATTGTAACTAGGATTTTTTTCCCCCTCCGTCTCATTGTGAGAGTAGCCTGAGCTCATTATCAGTAAGAGGCAACTCCTAATTATTTGAAAAGTTGGCTCAGTAGTTTGCAGCTGAATTTGCCAGTCAAGGAACAGTCAGCTTGTCTGTGTATTTTCTGAGGTTGAGGAAAATACTTAGATCAAAAAGGAATTTAAGCCCCAGGCTCTAAAGGGTGAGCGGTGGGCCGTGGTGGTGTCCTGGTACAGTGTGACCCTGCAGGGTCCCCAAAACCCCGAGTTACCCAAGGAGTCATGAATCCTCACCGGATTCCTGTTTCCTACCATTTTGCAGGGACCGTCTCCACGTCTAGTTCATTACTTTCTCCCATACTCAGTAGCACTTGGTCTACTTGTATGTGAGGCAAACAAATGTGTGTGTGTGTTTCCCAGCCCCCAAGGGGTAAGTATACGTCGCTGTAAAATGCTGGGGAGTGGGGGCAGAACAGAGGTGAGGTCCAGGGCCAGGGCCCTGGTGCAGGATGGAGTGCAGGATGGGGCGGGAGGCAGTGCCGCTGGCAGGGCTGACTGCCCCCGAGAGGTGGAGGCCAGGGGTGCCGCCCGCGGGGCCCAGGTTAACACTCTGGGCCCCGGAAGGGGGGGCGATGCTCGCGGGGGCCCTTTGGCGCCGAAGGTTCTGTTGCAGAGGCTTGCACGCCTTCCTTCTGGCTTCCGAGTGCGGGCTCAAGGCTCGCCTCCCCTGGGCTCTCTGTGGTTTTCCTGCCCCTTAGGCTCACTTTGCCTTTTCCCCACAAGTCTCTCGGGTTCTATTTGTGGCGATTCCCTTGCCTCTTACGAGGTGACAGGCGGTAACACGACGTGGTGGGTCTGCAGCGAGCACGACCGCCCTCCTGTGTGTGGGGGGAAAAGGGCTTCCCTTGAGAAAACCCGCGTCGCTCCAGAGTGGGGCTCAGCTGACAAGCCAGCGCGAAGGCTTCCCGCTTTGAGTTCAGCGAGTGCGCGTGTCCTGGGAGATAATAACAGAGGTGCCACCAAACAGTGTCCCGTGGGCAAGTGGGACCGGGAAACAGGGCTAAGCCGGCTTGCTTATCACAAGACATCTCAGGCACGTCGGAGTTTCATCAGAGGACCCTCCAGGGAGCGTGGTGTTTCTCAGGGTCCGGGGACCGTGCAGTTCTTCTCAAAGGGCCACTATTCTGGGAAATACATTTTTGGGGAAATGTAAGCCTAAGAGTCAGAGTTTCAGATCTCAGCAGGTGTGCATCATCAAAGCCCTGAAAAACGACTGTGGTCCTTTTAGGTGGCCCGGACTGGAACTAAGAAGGAAGAATCAACCGTGAGGGTTGTATGTGTTTTGAAAACTGAACTCGATGGATGTGTTGGCCAGGAAGACAAGACGGCCTGGGACCATCTCCTTGGGGCCGTGGGGGACCTGTGAGGGGCGGTCTTTAGGAATGAAGAGGAATTCTCTTGGGGCCAGAACCCTCTGTTTCTGAAAGCCCTCTTTTATTCTGGGTGTCTCTTTTGTCACTGAGTCCTGTTCCTTTTGAGTTAGAGGAGCAAAGAAAGATGGTTTTGCCTCCTCCTGAGCTGGAGGTGATTGGATGAAACTGGGTGCGTCCCGAGGAGGACAGGGAGCCTGGCTGGGCCATGGTAGCTCAGCGGCCCTCTTGCACCTGAGCAGCCTTCCCAGGGCTCATCTGTGCTACCCCCGTGCCAGGCATGTGTTTTGTTTTAACCAGGAAGGCTGTTCCTCGTTGACCTCAGAGGCCACATCCTGCTTCCACCGCCGGCTCTGCCTCTGAGTCTTTGGGTTGGTATGGCTCAGCCAGCAGCGCCCTTTCTGTGTTCCCGCCACAGGACTGGGCTGGCTGGGGTTGCTTTCCTCTCCCTTGGCAGGACTTAGAAATAGGATCTTCGAACTTAAGAGCTGGACGGCACTTTAAGGATCATTAAGTCCACCTTCCCATTTTACAGATGGGTAAGCAAAGGCCCATCTGTAAAATGGGAAGGTGGACTGAGTCATCCTTCAAGTTCATTCTGTAAGCAAACCCAGCTCCCACCCCAGAAAAGGAAATGGCAACCCACTCCAGTATTCTTGTTTGAAGAATCCCATGGACAGAGGAGCCTGATAGGCTACAGCCCATGGGGTCGCAAAGAGTTGGACTCGACTGCGTGATCAAGCATACTCACACAAGGAAGGGCCCGGAGACATGGTCTTGTCCCAGGGCTCCCGAATACTTGGTGGCTGAGATGATTTCCTAGACACTCAGCTCAGCCTTGCTTCTGGGACCTTGCCTCGATCTTGTCTTCAGGAGCAGGACAATGGAGCCGCCCAGTCACCCAGGGTGTTTGTAATCCACAGCCTCCAGGAGAAGAAATCTCTGTCTTTGACCCTCTAGTGGATCCCCAGGATAGAGGAGCTCAGGAAAAGCCATGACAGACTCTCTTGAGCAGGCAGGGAGGATTATTAAGTAGTGGGATCCAACCTTAACTTTGTATTATTTTAGGGGGTTCAGAGGGCAGAAGGGACATTTTTCAGGAAAAATGGTTCCTTGTGTCTCAAATCCCAAGCCACCCCCCCAACTCCATCAGCCAAGCATTGGCTTAGCTGTCAGATACCTGGGCAGTGGGCGCCCGTGTGTTTCAAAGGAGGCTGGTCTGGTCATGGTGGTCCTGTTGACCCTTCTTTTTTTTTCACAGAATCAAGGGCCTTTGGTGTGCCTGATTAAAGACACACTCACACATATACAGGCACACTCTCCTGCTTCAAATTTGGAAGCATAAATATAAAATCGACATAACCTTGGGCAAACTTCGGGAGATAGTGAGGGACAGGAAAGCCTGGTGAGCTGCAGTCCACGGGGTCGCAAAGAGTTGGACATGACTTAGCAACTAAACAACAGCAACAACAAATATAAAATCTGGAAATCAATTGTTTTTTTTAATAACTTTGCTCTCTTTGGAGATAAACTGTTGCTTATCAATAGACCAGGAGACTGAAACCATTTCTAATGAGTTATGTTTTCTTTCCTAAAAGGTGCTGAATCGCTTTATAGGAACAGCTTCAGCTTCAGTGATGAAAAACTGAATTCTCCGACAGACAGCACCCCAGCTCTGCTCTGTCCTTCTGTCCCTGCTCGGAAAGGTAAGTCCACTCGTTGGAATGTGAGTTTTTTTGCTTCCTTATTCCCTCTCCCCCTCAGCCTCCTCTCTCTTCTGCCTTACCCCTAACCAATCTTGCCAAATGTGCAAAACAAATAGAGAAGACTAGCATCTTCATACAGTACAATGTGGAGTAGATTTTGTTATTTCTCAGGATTTTGATCAGCATGAAAGTGAAATCCCATACTGGTGGGGGGCAGGGGACGGGTGGCTCAGATGTTAAAGAATCCACCTGAAATGTGGGAAGATCCCGTTTCAGTCCCTGGGTCAGGAAGATCCTCTGGACAAGGGAATGGCTACCCACTCCAGAATTCTTGCCTGGAGAATCCCATGGATCGGGGAGCCTGGCAAGCTACAGCCCATGGGGTCACAAAGAGTCGGGCTCGACTGAGCGACTAACATTTTCACTTTTTTATTTCAGGAAACCATGTAGAGAAACCATGGGAGAAAGAAAACATGTAGACTCTAGATTTTGTTTTCTCTTGTGTGTTGTTATCAATTCAGTGCTAAATGATAGTGCTCTCCTAGACTGGCTGGTTCTAGAATGTAAAACTCAGCAGTTAGGATTTGCAGAAAGTTGGGTTCTTTTTTTTTAAATTGCATTAACTCTTTAAAGAATGCTCTCAGATGACCAATTTAGCAATTAAATGGGGTCATCATTATGAAACAAGTGATGATCTAACATAATTCAAAATAGCGGCTCCAGCCTGCCTCTACTGTGATATTAATAGACAAAAAATTTTTAAAGATGCATGAGCAGTTTGTTATATTTTGGAGCTAGTAAATTGTCTCCAGCCAGAGAGCTGAATGTTCTATTGGGCAAGTGCCCTTTGAAAACAAAAGGAGTTTTTTTCTGCTTAAGAAACGTTACACTCGATGAAAATAGTTGCAGAATGCAATAAAAATGGAACATAGTTAAAAAGAAATATGAAGATTTCATCATTTTCTCACTCAGGCAGGAGGGCAGAATTTCACCCGTTTTCAAAAGAGACATTTTAAAGTTCTCCTCCCCACATAGTGGTGCTAGCAGCCCCTGGGAATTCTGCCATTGTCCAGCCCTCCATCTGTAATGGATCTGTTGAATTGAGAGAGACACAACAGTCTAGAAAGTGGCTTAAAACATGCCCAGATTTGCTACCTGATCCTCTAGAGGTAGAAATTAAAGAGGGGGGGGAAAGCCCTAGTGGCAAATTGACTTTAAAAGCTAAAAACAGTGAGTTATTTGGTGCAGTGGTAAAGAATCCGCCTGCCAAGGCAGGAGACACAAGAGATATGGGTTCGATCCCTGGGTTGAGAAGATTCCCCTGGAGAAGGGAATGGCAGCCCACTCCAGTGTTCTTGCCTGGGAAGTCCTTTGGATGTAGGGGTCTGGTGGGCTTAGTCCATGGGATCGCGAAGAATTGGAGACGACTGAGCATGTACTGCTTGAGGGGGCTAATTAATAAAGACATGCATTCAGAGAAGGCATGAGTGGTGAGCTCTAGAGAAAAAATAAAACACGCAGAAAGAAGGACAAGTCTTAGGATGCGGATGGAACAGAATCACGATGGGGCCTCGTTACCCTGTGTTGGCGCCTGCATGGCATGAGGCCGCCCGGACCCAGGAGCCTCCTGCCTCCTTCTCTGTATCATCTTGACAAGGAGCAGAAGTGCTTCGTTAATTCCACCCTGGGGGCACCACATGGGCTGAAGTATTGCCCTGGAGTGATAGTGTGAACAAGACTGCGTCAGAGAAGTTGAGCTGGAATTAGGGACTCTGGGTGTGCATTCCACACGCTGCTTCCCAAATACTTTGGCTGGTAGCTCAGATCCTACACGATCGAAGAGTTAAAACTTTTAATCTTCCTTCCCTGTCCCTGTCTCTCTCTGCCTTTCAACTCTGTTTTTACTTTTGTTTATTTCTGGCTGTGCGGGGCCTTCGTTGGGAGCACAGGCTCCCTCTCGGTGTGGTGAGCAGGGGGGTTGCTCTCCAGTCATGCTGCAGGGGGCTTCTCCTGTTTGGAGCAGAGCGGGCTTCAGTAGCTCTGGCTCGTGGGCTCCAGAGCCCGGGCTCGTAGCTGTGGCACGCAGGCTTAGTTGCTCCGCGGCACGTGGGATCTTTGTGGACCAGGGATCCACTTGTCCCCTGCATTGGGAGGTGGATTCTTAACCACCGGACCACACGGAAGCCTCCACCTCCCAGCTTTTAAAGTAGTGAAGAGAGTTACTTCTTCCAGGCTGCTGGACTGTGGGTGGGGGGTGAGGGATGATGAACTACAAAACCCAGAAAGAAACATCTTCAGAAAAAGCTTCTGAGTTGCCTGTAAGTGAACATTGGAGCAACCACTTAGGGCTGGTACAGGACACTACTTAATAAAATCTCGGAAGACAGAGAGATGGCGGTCATATAATTCTGGAAAAGTCGAATTCATCAGCTGTCTTGAATATAGAAACTGAACCTGAACTCTTGTTTTTCAGCCAAACTGGGAGATACGAAAGAGCTAGAAGACTTTATTGCTGATCTCGACAGAACCTTAGCAAGTGAGTACATGCCTGGTAGTTTAAAAAAAAAATCAAACAAAACCAACCAGCACCTCTGATAAAGTGCAGTAATGTTTACCAGCTTGCCTGCGGCAGGAAGTTATATCATGAGGTGTTTTTAGGTTCAGAAACAGGACCCTAGTGGCTCAGAAAGAAATCCTGAGGATAAGCTGGCATTGATGTTGACTGCCTTTTTAACCAGTGAGAACTGGCCCCCAGCAAACAATGGCATTTTGTTTGAGAAGTGGAGAGTTAAGTAGTAGTTAGAGTGAGATTGCAGCCTTCCCAGCATGGTGGCCTGCCAGGCTCTTCAGAAAAGAAATCAGCTTATTGACCACCAAGTATTACACTGACTAATAGAGCTGACTCATTGGAAAAGCCCCTCATGCCGGGAAAGATTGAAGGCAAAAGGAGAAGGTGGCAGAGGATGAGATGGTTAGATAGCATTACTGACTCAGTGGACATTAATTTGAGCAAGCTAAGGGAGAGAGTGGAGGGAAAGGAGCCTGGTGGGCTACAGTCCATGGGGTCGAAAAGAGTCAGACACAACCTAGCGACTGAAGATCACTATACTGACAGTGCAGAGGGTTCAATCTCAGGGGCCAGAAAAAACTTCACAAGTTAGATCCAGGGGTTTGATCTGACTTCTAGAGGGTTGGGTTCCCAAAGAGAGAATTGGCTTGGCGAGACCTTATAACCAAAGACCCACACCAGTTACCGAAAGACCTGGATGAGATACGTGGTACCCCATTTCCCATTTGGCAGTTACACTAATGGCACCCCATTCTCTGTGACCAAAATTTTTGAGAACCGAGGGTATCAGATCATAATTGCCATGGGGGTGCCTGGAAGAAAGGACCCTGAGAATCAATCCACACATTCTATTTGCAAAGAATAGGATCACAAGTGCCAGAAGGGTCAGCTGGAGTTTCCTGGATGACAGTTTCCACAACTGCCCCTTGGGGGGCCTTGTTCAGCCACTGAGCAGCCCTGGAGACTTTCATCCTAGCCCCTTTCGTTTTACAATGAAAGAGTCAGTTTTCCATATTTTATGCTGTGCTATGCTAAATAGCTGGATAGGATCTGAAAAAAATAGATCCAAAGCTGGTTACTTAAAAAGAATTCTGTTCTTAAACAAGGTTTCTGACAGACCTACCTAATATTAGGTGGAAAGTTCTTCTGCAGTTTCTGTTGACTAGAAGACTTTATCACCCATACCGTCCTCCATGAGAAGACCAAGGTCTGTTCTGACAGAGATGATTGTAATTGCAGCACAGTTTGTGTTAGACCCGTGGGACAAGCTTGTTGACTTCATGAAAATTGCAGCAGGCTGCCCAGTCATACCAGTTCTTCAGACGTACATTACATGGGAAGCCTGCCATTAAGTTTGGTGCTTGGATGCCTGTTTGAGAGGTGTGCTCTGGTTGAGCATGCATGCCAAGTCGCTTCAGTTGTGTCTGACTGTTTTCGATCTTATGGACCATAGCCCGTCAGGCTCCTCTGTGCATGGGATTCTCCAGGCAAAATACTGATGTGGGTTGCCATGCCCTCTTCCAGGGGATCTTCCCAACCCAGGAATCGAACCTGTATCTCTTAGTCTCCTGCATTGGCATTCTTTACAACTAGTGCTACCTAGGAAGCCCATGGCTAAGCATAGGAATTGTCAACTTTCGCGAGTGGATCACCTTCTCTGTCTTCTATTGACAGGTATGTGAAACAAGAAGTTCTGGGTCCTTTCATTCTTAAGGGAGAAGTTTCAGAAAGCTCGGAGGACCTGATAAAATCAGCTACAGAATATGCTGCTGGAGGGGGCAGAGATGCTGCTCACCCGCCACCAGGCTTGTCCTAAAAATACTTTTGGGCTCATCTCTGCGCAGGTTAGAGATTGACTTTGTTTACCAGCTTGCAGCGTATTAGAGCAGATGACTCATGCTAATGTTGTATTTCCTCTTAAAACATAGCTTCTCTGTAATTTAAAATGCTTTTATGAAAATATTTGTAATTAATTATATATAGTCGGAAACAGTAATATGCTTTCCCCATTATAATATATTTTTGTATGCAAATAAAGTTTGAACTGGAGTCTGTCTTTTGGAAGCCGTCTTTTTTTTTTCCTCTTGGTTTCTTTCAGTATGTTTCCATGCAGCTAGTATTCAAGTGGCAATAACATCCCTCTTGACTTCTCATAGAGATTCTGGGTGCTGCCACATTGCACTAGGCAGTAGGATGATTAGTGAGAGAAAAGTGTTACTTTGAAGCTCATTCGGCAATCTAAAGGGAAATTCTGGCATATGGTTGATGGGAAATTTTAATTTGAGCATTGTGGTTTTTTTTTTTTTAAGCTTTTTATTTTGTGTTGGGGTATAACCAATGAACAATGTTGTAAGAGTTTCAGGTGAGCAGCCAAGAGACTCAGCCACATGTATACGTGTGTCCATTCTCCTCCAAACTTCCCTGCCATCCAGGCCCCACACAACACTGAACAGAGCTCCCTGCGCTACCCAGTCCTGGGAGGATTGTGGTTTTGATGGAAGTTGGGTTTCTCTTCTCTGTTTTCCCCATTTCTTAGCACCTTTTAGTTGCCATGGGTGCTTCCTTCAGTTAAGGGAAATAGTAGGTGCACTAGGAATCCAGGGCAGGTTGGGGCAGCTGGAGGATTTATAAATGGTGGTGCTCTCATAAGACTGGTGTGCTGAGGCGGATTTGATGTGCTGGCCTGGGTGCTAATGTCCAAGAGCCGGGAGCTGGAGGGGTCCCAGGGGAACCAGGGGGTCCAGATGCAAGGCCTCCCATGGGGTGGGCTTGTTTGTAGAAGCCAGTAGCCCCACCTCCCACCCCCTACCTGCCTTTTATGGGGGATGGGGCGAGGCATGAAAACAGGCAAGTCCATAGTTTTCCTGTCTATGCTTTTCTACCCTTAAAACATCTGAAATAACCGAGGCATTACTTTGACACGCAGAATCAAGTTATGTAAAAACTCCAATCCTTATGTTCCTATAGAACACAAATCCAAAACATAAGTACTTCTAATTTTACATAATTTTCCATAAGGCCTTATGACTTTATTGATATTGTCAAAAGATAACTACTAATTTGATCTGTTTTTTAGGGCATTGGCAAACTAAATTGCCTTTTCTTTAAAGCTTTTCTTTTCCCCAAACTTCTGGGGAACCTTTTGGGTTGAACCCAAATGTTTTCTTTAATTCTTTTTTTTTCTAATTTTTAATTTTTTAGAAAATTTTATTTTATACTGGAGTATAGCTGATTAACAGTGTTGTGACAGTTTTGGGTGGACAGCAAAGGAACTCAGTCATACATATACATGTATCCATTCTCCCCCAAACTCCCCTCCCATCCAGGTTCTTTATTTCTTTATTGAGATATAATTTACATAACTGAACGTTCATCCTTTTAAAGTGTACAATTCAGTAGGTTTAAATTTTTTAGCTATGCTTTCTGGCTTGAAGGATCTTAGTTTCCAGACCAGGAATTGAACCTACACCCTCAGCAGTGAAATCGCAGAGTCCTAACCACTGGACCACCAGAGATATCCCACCTCAGTGGCTTTTATTTTATTATTATTATTTTTTTATTTTTTTTATTTTTTCCATTTATTTTTATTTGTTGGAGCCTAATTACTTTACAACATTGCAGTGGTTTTTGTCATACATTGAAATGAATTAGTCATGGATTTACGTGTATTCCCCATCCCGATCCCCCCTCCCAGCTCCCTCTCCACCTGATCCCTCTGGGTCTTCCCAGTGCACCAGGCCCGAGCACTTGTCTCATGCATCTCAGTGGCTTTTAGTACCTGTGTTCACGGAGTTGTGCAGCCATCCCTGTCTAACTCTCTGTGGATTCCTCTATTCTGGATATTTCATACAAATGGAATCATACAACATACAGCGTTTTGTTTCTGCATTCTTTTCTTTACAGACTGTTTTCACAGTTCATCCATGTTGTATGCGAATCAGTACTTCATTCCTTTTTATGACTGACTAATAGTCCACTGTACGGACATACCATATTTGTTTATCCATTTATTAGTTGAGGGACATTTGGGTTATTTCTACTTTTCGGCTAGTGAATATTTCTTTTATGAATGTTCATGTATAAACTTTTGTGTGGATATATGTTTTAATTTATTTTGGGTATATAACTAGGATCAGAATTGCTAGGCTGTAAGATAACCCTGTGCTAAACTTTCTGAGGAATTGCGACTTTCCACAGCTGCACCATTTTACATTCCCACCAGCAACGTATGAGGGCTGCAACTTCTCTATACCCTTGGCAACCCTTGTTGTTGTTCATCTTTTTGAATGTAGCCAGCTGGTGTAAAGTGGTATCTTTTTGTGGTTTTCATTTGCATTTCCCTGATGACTAATGATCTTGAACATCTATTTATGTTTTTATTGGCCATTTGCGTATCTTCTTTGGAGGATTGTCTGTTTGCAGCCTTTGCCCATTTTTTAATGTTGTTGTTCAGTCACTCAGATGTGTCCGACTCTTTGTGACCCCATGGATTGCAGCACGCCAGGCCTCCCTGTCCCTCACCATCTCCTGGAGTTTGCTCAAATTCATGTCCACTGAGTTGGTGATGCCGTCCAGCCATCTCATCCTCTGTTGTCCCCTTCTCCTCCTGCCTTCAAACTTTCCCAGCATCAGGGTCTTTTCTAATGAGTCGGCTCTTCCCATCAGGTGGCCAGAGTATTGGAGCTTCAGCTTCAACATCAGTCCTTCCAATGAATACTCAGGACTGATTTCTTTTAGGATTGACTGGTTTGATCTCCTTGAAATCCAAGGGACTCTCAACAGTATTCTTTATTATTGTTGAGCTGTAGGAGCTTTCTATGTATTCTGTATACAAATCCTTTATCAGACATATGATTTGAAAATAACTTCTATTTTGCAGGTTGTCTTTTCACTTTTTTATTAGTGACCTTTGAAGCACTAATTTTATTCCACTGCTTTTGTTTATTTTGATTTTTATTGGAGTACAGTTGCTTTCCAATGTTGTGTTAATTTCTACTGTACAGCAAAGTGAACCAGCCATTTGTACACATATATCTATCCCCTCTTTTTTGGATTTCCTTCCCATTTAGGTCACCACAGAGCACTGGGTAGAGTTTCCTAAGCACTAAATTTTGATGAAGTCCATTTTATCTGTTTTTTTCTTTTGTCACTTGTCAAAAGTCCACTTTTGGTGCCATATCTAACCATTGCCTAATTAAAAATGACAGAATTATTCATATATTCTCTTTTAAGAGTTCCATAAGATTATACAAATCTTACATTTAGGTATTTGGTCACCTTTGGTTTAATTTTGTATGTGATATGAGGGAGGTATCCAACTCCACTCTTTCGCATGTAGACATCCAGTTGTCATATCCTTATTTATTGAAAAGACTATGTTTTCCCCCTTGAATTATGTTGATACTCTTGTTAAAAAATCAGTTGGTCATATGTGTATGGGTTTGTTTCTGGGCTCTCAATTCTGTTCCAGGGATTTCTATGTCTCTTTTTATTTCCTGTACCACACAGTCTTGATAACTATAGCTTTGTAGTAAGTTTTAAATCAGAAAGTGTAAGTCCTTCATCTTTGTTCTCTGCATGATTATATTGGCTATTCTGAGTTCCGTGCATTTTCAGATAAATTTTAGGTTGAGTTTGCAACTTCTGTCCCAAAGGCGGTTGAGTTTCTCATAGGGATGGTATCGAATCTGTGTGTCAATTTGGGAAGTATTGCCATCTTAGCAACACCAAGTCTTCCTTCCAGTTCACGAGCATGAAACGCCCTTCAGTTTATTTATGTCTCTTCATTTCTCTCAACTGTGTTTGTGGCTTTCAGCGTGTGACTCTTGCACTTCTTTCATCAAATTTCTTTCTATTCTTAAAAAAAAAATTATTTACTTATTTGACTGTACCAGATCTTAGTATCAGCGTGTGGGATCTTCCTTGGGGCATGTGAGATCCCTTTTTTCAGTTGTGATATGTGGGATCTAGTTCCCTGACCAGGGATTGAACCTAGGCCACTTGCTTTGGGAGTGCAGAGTCTAGCCACTGGACCACCAGGGAGTCCCTGTAAAATTTACTTCTAAGCATTCCTTTTGATGCTATTGTAAGCAGAATTGTTTTCTTAATTTTATTTTCAGCTTATTCCTTGCTAGGGTATAAAAATACCCTTGATTTTTATCTATCGAGTTTGCTTTCTATACTTATTTATTAGTTCCAATAAGGTTTTGCGTGTGTATGTGTGTGGGGAGTTCTATGTACAAAATCATAGCATTTGCAAATGGAAATAGTTTTACTTCTTCCTTTCCCATCTGAATACCTTTTAAATTCTTTCTGTTGCATCACTGCCCTGGCTGGAACTTTCAGTACAATATTGAAAATAAGTGGTGAGAGGGACATTCTAGTTTTGTTTCTGATCTTAGAGGAAAAGTTATCAATCTTTCACCACTAAGTATTATGTAAGCTGTGGGAATATTTTCCTTTTTCATCAGATGAGCCCTTGTTTTTTATTTTTTAACATAATTTTCCCATTACCTGGAACTGTTTCTGTTTCGTACTTGGGACTCTTTATCTGCTTTGGATAAATCTTCTCCCCCATCCTCAACTCCCACTGGGACACCAGTGGTTGTTCACTGTTACTATACCTTCTTATTACTAGCCTCTTCAGGATTTGAGGCTCTACCTCATTGGGCAGGTCTTTCTT